GAAGAAAAGTGTGACAGACGGACGGACGGACGGACGGACATGAGTAACAACAATATACCCGAACTTTCTTTAGAAAGTGCGGGTATAAACATACACTGTTTCTTAAAAAAACATACACTGTTTCTTAAAATGGCATTTTTTTCTGTAACAAGAGTGCAGAAATGCAAATGGAAGTGCACATGCAAAGGTGAACATTTTTTACATACATGTAATATCTTGTGCATCCGTGAGATTTGAAAATTGAACTGACATAATATTCACAAGTAGAATTGTGGTTTATTGATCGAATGTTTCCATTTTGAGCTATTGGTTAATATTGCATAGTTTAAAGTGTAATGCACGTTATCATTCGGAACGTAAATCTGAAACAAAACTTTCTTAAAGTTTGTATTTTGCTGTTTGTTTGAATTGATAGTGTATCATCAACTTAAAAAAATCGTTATAAACACCTAAATTGTATACCATGCTAAACATTTTGTAAGAAGAAAATATTTTTCGTAGGAAATATAATTCCACAGAATAGGCGCTGCGCTGCATGTTGTGTGTGTGTGTGGGGAGGGGGGGGGGGGTTCACATCGGGTTACAGAAAAAAGACGGCTGTGGGTGTTGAGTGTCAAGAAACTGGTCGAAATTGAATCCATTTCCATTTTTATTGCTTTGCAAGAAATATATGTATTAAATTGTGCACCTAATTTTTCCCATTTAAATTGTTGCTTAGATTTAGAATTTAGAACGTATGGTCTATGCTTTAACGGTACATAAAATTCAATTTACGTTATATTATTGTAGAATGTACGTATATTGCTCTATAGAGCACATATAATTTGCAACTGTTGTTATTAACAAACCTTTTTAAGGATGGTGGGGGTAGCTTTGTTTTGTTTTATTTTTTAGATTTGACGATACAGTTTTCACAAGCAATTAAGCATTTGAAATAATAAACAGATAAGGGGTACTTACCACAAACAAAAATTTGATGCATGAATTGATATATATTTTTTGACTGATTTTGATTTAAAATGACATAAATAATAAAGCGTAGGTTTTCCTTGGTGCTAAGACATGAGAATTCGTTTTGCTTACTATATATTTCCAAACAAAATTTTGCACAAATTTTTAATCCTATGACAAAATCTTTAAAACTTTCCCACTATACTCGGTAAACATTATTCAGGTTATCAATTAAAATTTAAATTTATGAGAAATATTGCTGATTTCTGAAAAAAAAGTTTGTTTGTGTTAATTATCCTTAAATGATGGAGGGGGGGGGTCTTAAATTAAATGATTCCTCTATAGATAAGTCATTACTTGAATTTTCAATTCAACCCTTTGTCAAGAACACAGATAAGAAAATCCATAATATTCATTAATTTGAAATAATATATTCATTTTCCCCCCGAATATACTTTTATTTTTGTATGATATCTATGTGCGATATTTACGTGATATTAAACAAACACTTCGTAATCAGGTAATGGCGAAATATTTTACCTTCTGATATTTTTAATAATGTGCATTTCTCTGAATAGATTAAGAAAGAATCAAATAATGAAGCATTTTAAGTGATATTGTCATTATTTAGCTTATCGTCAGATTTGATAAAACTTTCTAAAATAAAAAAAAATTATTTCATTTAAATGAAAATTATGCATGTTTTGTTTTTACTAATAATTGAATCAAAGATTCCACACCCTTTTACAAATGTGCTTAAACGGTTTCATATATGTTTATAGTTAACAAAATTCGATGTGTATTATCTTAATTTTGTATTTTTCAAAAAATTCTTTCGTTTCAAAGTATGGCTTTTCAACATCACGTAAATATCTTGGTGTAAAATTAGCCCTCCAACCGCATTCATTTCGAAGGAGGTCAACAAAACACAGCGTGAAGTATGTAAATCAAATTTTGATTTTTAATAACTACTAGTATACACTTTCATGTTTCAAATGACATATAAAAGTGTTAATTTCATTTCACAATTTTTTTTGACTTTTCCCAAAGTCGATTTGGCACTATAAATTGAGAATGCGTGTAAGACACTGCAAGAAATTCTAATTTCTTTATTTTCCTGGAAACTTGGGCCCTTTTGAACTTAGAAATTCGGGCATATGTTGAATAGAGAAATGAACACTTTGTAAGCACAACCCCACTTAAGAGGGCGGGGGAGGGGGGGGGGGGGGTCGTGGCCATTTTAGACTATATTGCTCTTCGTTAGAAAAAGAGCTCCATATGAAAATGATTAAATTTAAAAGCTGAAATAAATGAAATTTTTCCTTATCAAATAATAGTTTACAGCTTATATATTTGATAAAAAACATTTCATATATTAATTTTAGTCTTGCGACTTTGCTTAATTCATTTTAAATCTAAATAGAATGCTTTCTGTTACGGCCCCCAGATCTTCAAGCTGATCATGTACGTAGGACCTGTTAGAAAAATGTTATCTTCGTTTAATATATCTATACTCTTCTTAAAATTAAATCTAGAAGATATTCTGTCCCTCACATCATTAACTACCTCTGGGATTTCATTTTAATTGATTTGTTTGGAAACTTTCCCGAGATTAAATGTATTGGATCATTCAGGCATTTTATTATTTTTTTTCTAGGGGGGAGGGGGGATACTAGGATCTACCGCATGTCATTCATGCATTATGTTTTATTTTCTTTTCTTTTTAGTGGGGGATGCGTGTGTGTGTCTCCTTCATTGTAACGAAGAAAAGCTTTATTCATGAATATTCCTTCGATAAAAATCTATTAAAATATCAGATTCTTTGAGGGGTGTGCGGGGGCTGCTTTGGATCGGATATCTAAGTCAACATGCATGCAAAAATTGACTATTTTTAACAGTGAATATCTTCTTCTAAAATCATTGAAGGGTAATCATTAAATAAACTGAAATTGCATATGTATATGAAATTTAGGTCCTTTCATTTTAGCAATTAAAAGCCCGCCAATTATTTGTACGCCCGTCCATTCATGAAATTATAAAGAAATCCTGAAAACTACATATTATCTCGTGTGTCTTGTACATACAAGACTATACCAGTGGTTATTGTTATCTCGCTCGTACGACTTATAATGTCCTACGTACGACTTAGTATCTCGTTCGTACGACTAAATATGTCGTACGTACGACTTAGTATCTCATACCTTCGACTTAGTATCTCGTTCGTACGACTTATTTTGTCGTACGTACAACTTACGACTTAGAATGTCGTACATTCGACTTAGTATCTCGTACGTACGACTTAGTATCTCGTTCGAACGACTTATTATGTCGTACGTACGAATTACGACTTATCATGTCGTACGTACGCTTTAGTATCTCGTTCGTATGACTTATTTTGTCGTACATACGACTTAGTATCTCGTACGTACGACTTGATATCTCGTTCGTACGACTTAGTATCTCGTACATATGAGTTAGTATCTCGTACGTAAGACTTAGTATCTTGTTCGTACGACTTATTATGTCGTACATACGACTTAGTATATCTCGTACGTACGACTTATTATGTCATACGTACGACTTATTATCTCGTTCGTACGACTTAGTATTTTGTTCGTACGACTTAGTAACTCGTTCGTACGATTTATTATGTCGTACGAACGACTTAGTATCTTGTACCTACGATTTATTATGTTGTACGTACGACTTAGTATCTCGTACGTACGAATTACAATATTTTTTTAAGTGGCAGCAATACGCTTTCGTAAGTATTAGTCCATTCAGTATTTTGATTTAAAAATCAAAGGTTAAGAATTTTCACTTTTCCCCTGTTTCCATGGCAACTATTGACAATTTGCAATTTTTTTAAATGCAAAGCGCACAATGTCAGATACTAATCATTAAATCAATTAAGTTTCATGTCGAATGCTCAAGGGACCAGAGAAAACACTCTCCCACAAAATGCGTCGCTTTTTGCAGGTTTCTATAGCAACAGTAGACATTTTTGAACTGAACGTCCTCACTGAGAAAACTATACAGCCAGTGATCGTCCTTTGAGGAAAGTTTTGGAAAGATCGTCCCAGCCATCTCCGAGAAACAGCCCAGAAAACAAAAGCACGCGTACAACGCAATATGTGCAGTAAAACCCCAGTCACATTTCCAAAAACGACCAACGGCCGACGGGTTTTGAAGCAAAAATGGGATTCTTTGGGTGACAGTCGGCAGTTCACCGGCCGTTGTCTTGCCCGATTTTGACCTCTTTTTTTGTCGGCCGACCAATTCAGTGTCCATCGGTCCAAGTTATAATTTCTTCTGCGTCGGTGGCCGATTTCTTCAATTGAAATTATTTGTCGACCAACCTTCGATCATCGTCCGACCATCGACAGTCAGTTTATTAAATCGGTCGTCCGTCGTTCGACAATAAGGGTGTTCAAAATTTCGGCCGACAGTTACATCAAACTGTAGCTAAGAGCTCGATGATGGGGCGACTATTGGTATTCTTTGCTGCTTAGATATGTCGTTTTTGTGCAGTTCTATACAAAATTTCGCACACATTTTAACATTGAGTCACAATCTTCTTTCAGCCGACAAGACCAGAAAAATTTGGTCGCACGACCATCGGCTTAAATGTGACCTAGGCACACTTGTATACCAGTCTCATTAAAAAAATTCCCGCTTTAAAGATCTTTTTTCCCAAAATAGTTGGGTGCAACAAGGTAGGACATATCATATATTGAATTTATAAAGAAATGAGACTAGACGCAGACAAGTTGCAGACATTTGAATATAACTTAAGAAAAGATAATAAATGCTTTCTGACAATGACTTCGAAGAATGTACTACACGACATAATGCTTAAATATGTAACAGATAAAGAAATGAATTCTCTCCTGAAGTTGCGGTACACTAAGAGCTATCTACTACCATTCCCAGTCCATGAAAAAATATATCAATTTATCTAATATAAAGTTGTGAAGTTTAAAAAAAAATTTCCACTTTAAAGTAGAAACACATACTTAAGCAGAAATAAGCGTTTACCCGTTACTTACCTAAGTGTATTGCTTGTTGGTGAGTGTCATGGATAGCAATGTAAACCTGAATAATCAGCTGAGGAGCGGATTCAAAGAAGGCGTCGAACATCCGTAGAAAACTCGCATCTAGGCCAGTCTTTTTCATTTCATTGTAATGTTTCTCTTTTGCCTTTTTATCACTGGATCTGCGACTTAAGCATCCATGTTTTAAGTGAGATATGTTCCTAAAATTAAAATAGAAAATTTGGTTAATAGTTTAAGGTAATGACTGTAAGTGCAGATATTTTTAAAGAGTAAATTTTCGCCTAGATTGAAAAATATTTTCAGTGTCTTTTTAGATGATTATGCTAATAAAGAATTTGTCAAGTATATCTGTTTTGAAATGTTAGCATAGAATACCTGATAATGGTAGAAAATGGGAAGGCCACGACAAGAAACAAAAACTTCCTCACTTTTCCAGAGGGTCCACTTCCATCTTGTAAGTACCAAATAGTGCTTAAAGACCCCGTCACCATAAATGACGCAATCACAACTGATGACGTTAGTACACACTCTACGATTCTACCGTGATTTTTGTACTTCAAGGCAAGAAGAATATCCGTGACAACATCAAATACAAAGAGTACTATTGAAAGAACTATTCCAAGAAAGTTCAAAATGGTAAATGGATAGGGTTGGATGTAATTTTTATCATTTGTCGTAGGATTGTTCTCATCATCGATAAGCGTGACGTGTTCATCTCGGAGCCCCACCATATTTCTGAGAGCTATTCGATTACCCTCTCCATTTTGTCCCGATTTTTCGGGGGCATCGACGGAATCTAATGAGTCCATGTCTGGATAGTTTTGTTGTTGTCCGATTACGTTGTTGTCACTTTGACTCATTTGTTTTCCACGTACACCAAACCTATTGTCAACATTATCACCCTTCTTCCCTGCTTTACGTTTCTACTTCCTTTTTTATTTTATCGCCTCATTGTGTCATAATTTTTCCGGGAACTAGTTTTGAGGAATGAATAAAAATAATTCCTCTAACGGAAATACCTGTCTAGTTTCGTTTTAGACAGGGTTTTTTTGTCTTCCTGTAATCTAATACAAGTAACAGCTTTTCAAAAAGCTTGCCTGACTTAATCAATCAATATCTGAAAGAGAAGTGATAAACCTTTTGAGCAATGAAATATGTCTTTTTATTTGAGAACCTTGTAAAAATATTTAATTATTTAATTTGTAGAAGAACGATGCCTTTGCTGCATTCTGAAGAGTTGTTAACAGAATGGTTAATGTATGTGGGTTTTCTGCCAATCGCAACTCCTCGGTCCCACTCCTCGGGCCTTATCTAGGGAAGAAGACCACAAATGTATGGTTAATTTATACGCCATGGCACCCCCCCCTTTCACAAACTTTGAAATAAAAGCATGGATGATGTATATAGAACTATTATCTGTGGAATATGGATTTAACTTTATTCAATGTAATGATATTATCTAAAATATACTATAGAAGGGACTTCTAACTCCGTTTTTACTATGAACAGGAAATGTATAAATTTTTAGCATCCGATGATGTCGATACATTCGAGTTTTTCGACCTCTGACGAAAAGACCCGAGATGATGCGATTGACTTTTCTGCAAGTAGATTGATCTACCCCTGGATCTAAATTTAAAGCTACACCTATTCTGAAATCTGTTGTCAAATCATTCATTGTGAACATTTTAGAGAATGGATACTAAATACAACTAAATACATATGTTGTAGGAAAGCATTTTCTCCAATGAAGTAAACAGTAGTAGTTTGTGTTCATTGATATTTTTTTCTGAAAGGTGGGTACTAAACTTTTTTGAGAACGAAATAGGTAAAACCAACATTTAGGCCTTTGTGGAAAAGAAATCCAAGATTTCTTTCGTCAAATCGTCTGGAATCTGGTTGAACTGCGTCGATCGTTTGTGGTGATTGGACTAGTCCATTAAAATATGGAATAAACCAACAGAGGGGAAAAAAATTAGAGAAATCATTTCTTTTGTTTTGCATGTCCATATTCTGATACATACGATTCATATGTTGTTTTAAGGAATAAGATAAAATTTGTAGACAGAATTTCTGAATCATAAGAAGATGGAGGTTACAATAAAATCCATAGAAGTTAGCACCCCCATTCATACAATAGAACAATCCAAGAAAAGACGCGAAGATCGCTTACTCGAGACATTTGGCGCGAAAAGAGCGATTCACCCCTTTCGTAGAATATAAATGGACTGATCCAGTAGTATAGAAATGCAGAAAAAAAGATACAAGGACACGTTGAAACGGTAAATCACATGGAATAATGGGGTTTATCCAATATGGATAAACCTGGTTATTTCGTGCAGCTCTAATTTTTCATATAAAGATAGATAACTCTTTGTTTTTTAATGTTGAACTTCATAAATCATCGGGCTCGGTGCTCAAACAATTCTTCATATTTCTTGTCTGCGCATGTCTTCTAGAATATTCCTTTTTAATCTGTAATGGAAGGAAGCAGACGCAAATTTTTTTAAAAAGAATTAATCGATCATCTGCTGATTTATTGTCAAATACAAGTAAATATCTTACGTGTATCAAGAGCTTCGAAGGCCAGGAGACCTTATTCCAGAGAAATCGCAAGAAGTTCCGTATCCAGGCCTAAAAACATAGAGTACCTGAAGCAACTTGTGCACCGCCACGCCGCCTCGTGCTGGACATGATGTCGCCATTGTGGAGCAGGCACCTGACTCAGTCACTGTAACTTCTTTAGTTTCCTTGTAACCTGCTATTCCAGCTCAACATAATCGAGGTAAAGATCAATTTGACACAAATCCTTTTATTATTTATTATATTTTTAATTTTACGAATTTCCATATAATGTCCGATTAAAATGACGTCATACTTGATATCAAAGGGGAACCCTATGCATGCTTTCTGACAAAATATGACCCCCCCCCCCCTTTTCCACCATTGCCAAAACCGATAGCCATTAGCGAGCGTGTTAATGTGCATTGTTTGCACATTTGAGAATTTGCCTAAATCTAATACACGTGTATTCATCGTGGTTTAAACTAGAATAACAAACTTGCTTTCAAAAACTAGGACCCTATATAATATAGTCTGTAAACTTATCCATCCATCACCATCATATAGTAATAATTTGGGATTTCCCATGTTTGATATGTTTTCTACGGTGATATAGTAATGTCATTTAATATAATTTTCAAGGAAAATATCGGGCCAATACATGTACGTAAACATTCAATTTCTTTAAATATACATGTATATGGAATTTATTTTTAAAAAATGAATCAATCAAATAAAAAGTTTAACAATTTTTTTTCTAATCCACTCTTAAAATAAATAAAAACAAGTTTGACTTATTAATCTTGGTTCCATTTCTTGGTGATTTTAATTGTAGGATACCATTAAGGCATTTACTAGTAGTGTATATATGGCAAGAATATTTATAATAATCAATATGATGCACTTCAATTTTATTTAGATAGTTCAAGTTCTTTTGGTTACAGTGTGATGTTTAGTTAACATTGGTGTTTTCCCATTGACCTGTTGGCTGGCCTGAGGAATAATACAGGGATATCCCCTTCTTAGAACTTGTATCTATTGTATTAAGGGTTATGATCTGGGCTGAGGATTGATAATTTTTTCTTTGGTTTACAGCAATTTAATCACAAATCATCTAGAAACAAAAAATTATTGCATTAGTCTGGATGTAATTGATGCAGACTTTTAAGTTTAATGTACATTTAAAAGCTCAACATATACCAGGTATAAAAAATTAAATTCCAGATCTATGCTATTTCTCGGTTTCACTGGACCATGTTTCATTACAGGAAAGTTTTCCCTCCTTGTACCTATTCAGTTTTGGAGAGTTGGTCAGGAGCTACAGTAGCTGTAGCCAGTCCTTCAAACCGGTCTCAAAATACAGAAAGAAAAAGTCCTTTTTTTTCAATTTCAGGCAACAGTTCTCATTTCAGCAGATCGGGCCTCCTCCTGCTGATCATCTGAATAATTTTAGAGTATATCTGTCAGAGAGTATTATGGCTTTTTCTACCCTCAAATGTTATTTATCAGGAATCAGTTTTGTCATCAACTTACATGGTTGACAGAATCCAATCGATTCATAAATAATTATTAAGAAGTTATGGGCTGGTTACAAGAGATGTAACTAATGCGTCTAAAGATGTAAGAAACCTATCATATTACCTATGTTGGATAACATTGTCAGTGTTTTGCAATTGCCACATTTTTGTTCTGATTTTGGAGCGGCTTTATTTAGGTCTGCTTTTACACGAGTTTTCTTTGCATTACTAAGAGTGAGTGAAATAGTGGCTTTTGGTATCGAGCATATAATTGTCTTTTGCGATACCATTCAAGTTTTTGTTAAAACATTTATGACTGGTTAAACTGGTTCAGGGACATGTGCACATGTAGAAAAAATCAAATATTACAATGTCACTGTTTCAATCTTTGCAGAATTTTCATGTATTATGTACACATATTAAAAGGGCGTCCAACTTTTCACATTTTAACTCCAGACCTTTATCTATGGGCAGCGGAAAGGGCAAAAATTACCATAATGAGAAAACAAACAATTATTTTAATTTCAATGACCATACAAACTTAACAAATGATATACAAAGCATAACCAACAGACCTTTTTCGCAGAACTAATATACATTAAAGCAAAACCAACGACCACGTACTTAACAAACATATGAATGCAAAACCAACGATCATCTTTGCAAAACAAACGTACATAAAAACACGACAAACGAAAAAAACTTAACAAACGTGCACGCGGTAAATCTAGTCTTCCCGACACCCGGCTCCCGACGGTCCCAGATTTTTTTTTTTTTGGCGATTTCTTTTTTGTCGGTGCACAGAAAATCTTCAAACTTCTCAAGCACATTTTCTTTTTAAATGAATTCAACAGTTCAATGATATTGTAACGTTTTCGGGTTCTTTTATGGGATTCGTCTGTTCTATCTGAACAATTAAAGAATAATTAAATTTCCCAATTACAAATTTAAATTAATAATATATACACTAACGCCTTCGTTTCTCGGGAGCGCGTGCGCCTTCCAAAGACTGAAGCGCGTCCGCTTCTTATCTTTAGTCAAACAATAAATCACTTATAGGTACTTTATATGAAATATATCTATAACCAATCAAAGTCTCGAAAGTCTATTACAGACATATATATGCAAACCAAAAACAGGCATCGATAAAGAGAGACGTAAGTTGTCGTAGATATTAAATGTGCCTGGACACAGATTTGAAGTTAATATTTTCTGTATAATATTACGACTTATATACTCGATTCTCATTATATCGCGGGTTTCATTGTATCGCGGTATATTCCAAAAAATCAGATACATAGCTCATATGCTTTTTGTTGAAAAAAAATATCAGTTTGTCATCTGAATGTAAATTTTTGTGATGATTAAAAAGTATGGAAAATGCGTTGGAAAAAAAATATTCAAAGAAAACATAATTTTACAGAAATCGGTCTCCGTTTTTATTATTTTTAGCCCACTGAGTTTATAATCTAGTAAAATCCATATAAAGTTCATGTTTTGAAAGTCTTTAGTTTGTATAACTGTTTATTTTCTTATGTAAAATTACATGGTAAAATAGAAAATAAGAATTGAAGTCCATGTCAACCTCAAGTTTCCATGTTTTCCCATACCGCGATACCATGAGACTCTCCAATTTAGGAGGTAAATGAGACTGTCTGCTTTAAAAATAGAGTACAACTTAGATGATGCAAGCTTGGGAAATAACTTGATACTAAAAAGTTAGGCCATAGTTTGCTTTATTAATATCATTTGATGAAAGTTAAATTTAAAAAATCAAATTACACTTTTTAATGCAAAAGATTTAAGTACCGCGATATAATGAGACACCTGTATATATTTTAATAGCATTTCACACAAAAATAAA